CTTCCTGCTCCTCTGATGCTGCTTGGCCTGCTGTGTTCATCCAGCTCTACACCTTGTTATCTCAGATTCTCCAGCATCTGCAGTTCCTGCTATCTCAGCAACTAGAACATATTTGTCAAATTACTGCTGTCAAAAAAGGGTGGGTGTGAGTCTTTTATGGGCATTTGAAATATGTGATTTTGTCCAAAAGGCTCAACTCAAAGTGCCAACATGAATCTTTACATAATATACATGATTACTAAATAACTTGGGAGTGTGAAATAAATGTAAAGTCAGCAAACAGCCTGCTGTATTTAACCTCTCACCCCACTATACTTTGCATTAATTTCTATTTTATTTCATTGAAAAAATGATTCAGTTATGTTTCAGAAGACAAATCATAGAGTCCTAGGGAAACAGACCCTTTGGTCTAACTCGTCCGCACCGAAATCAACTGTTTTTGTGTAGCTCTTTAGATCACAGGTGCTCCATCAGGGTCTCTTACCTTGTGAGCAAGAACTGGGAATTCTGGGAGGTCTGGTGACTGTTTTCTGTGGTGATTGTGTTGTTAGTCACTGTAGTCTGTGTGACTGTGGTGCTGAGGCTGCCTGTGTTGGTGCGTCTTGTTGCATTGCGTGCAGACTCCAGCTGTTGTCGGGCTGCCTGTGCCTGCTGTCTCTCTAGCTGCAGTTGCATTTGCAACTGCTGTAATTGGGAGGCAGAAGGGCCAGAGGAGTTGAGCTGTCCTCCAGCAGAACGTCTCACACCTGATAACTGTGATAACAGCTCTGTAACAAATGGAAAAAAAAATTATTTATGAGCTGCATGATAAATTGTTAAAGAAAAAAATTGCGGAAGTTTATTTTAGATCCCTTAGTACCTGCAAAGGGAGAAGGCAGGTTAGTGTTTCAGGTGTAGATGTTTCCTCAGAACAAAGCAAGATAAATCTGCTCTGTATTTCCAACAATTACTGTTTTTAGTCCAACCTTTGCAGTTTTCTTACTTGCAATGATAGTCATCTGTTACCTTGCTTCACAATATGAAACATAAAGGCCACAAAATCCAAAAACATACTGACACTTCTACAGAGAAATTCCAAAACAGCAACACTATAGACTTTCCTTTTCCAAATGAAGTACTTGATTGCATTAATCTATTTAAAATCAAATAGAATTCTCAAAGTAGTGGTTTCTTAATTAGTTATCTAATTTCCATTCACCATATTTCAATGGTATATTTCTCTAGGAAGAGAGGAGCTTCTTCTCCTTTTGGATCACTTCATTTTTTTTTAACATATTCTCCAAGACAAGAAATGGTTGCGGGACAGACTGCAGAGTAGATATGATTTAATAAAGTTAGGGGCTGAAGATAGCAGATGGACTTGCTATAAATTTTCAATCTTCCCCTGATGCAGGAGGTGCCAGAGGAACAGGGTGGGGGTAGTGGCAAATATGATGGCCTAATTCAGTAAAGGATTACTAACTACAGACAGGTCAGTTTGACATCAGTGCAAGTGAGGTTTTACAAATAATAATTGGGAAAAGAATTAACAAGCACTTGGAGAGGTTGGAGTTAATTAAGGAGAACCAGCAGTAATTTGTAAAAAGATAGATCATGCTTGTGGATGAAGTAACAGAGAAGACTGATGGAAGGAATGTAGTGGACGTTGTCTGTATGGATTTTAAAATTGGTTTGACAAAATACCACATAAAAACTTAGCCAACAAAATGGAGGCTTATGGAATAGGAGGGTCAGGATCAGCACCAGCTTCGGTAAGAATTGGCTTAAGAATAGAAAATGATGAGCTGCAATAGTTTCTCAGACTGCTGGTGTTCTGGATGGTAGTGCTCACCAAGGGTAAGTGTAAGTACCACAGCTTTAATTCGCTGATGATCCCAAATATGCGGGTGGGAAGAGTTTGAGGACAATAATGGTCAACTGCAATAAGACAGAGAAGCTAGCATAACAGGCAGACACGTGGCACATGGAACTTAATAGAGATGTGAGGTGATGAACCTTGGCAAAAAGAAACAGGGAAGGCAATAAATACTTAACAGCACAGTGTCAAAGACTTCCGGTTCAGAAAAACCTTAGTTTACATGAAAGATCTTTACAGGTGACAGAACATAACAAGTGTAGTCAGCAAAGTATAGGATATCTTGTGTTTCACAAATAGAGGTACAGAAGCTGAGGTACAATAGGTAAATTACACCCAAACTTCAAGAAAACATTGTTACTGGTTAGGCCACAACTAGCGTCCAATTCTGGTCACCTCACTTTAGAAAGGATGTGAATGATGGTATTTGAAAGGGTAAAGTAAAAATTTACTAGAATGGCTTCAGGAATGAGGGAATTTAAATACAAGAAGCTGGGATTGCTCCCCTTGGAGCAAAGGAGATTAAGGGGGAATCTGATAGATATGTACAGGAATATGACATTCAGATGAGGTAATGGACCCATTATTTGACGGTACAAGGACTACTGGACACAAAATTCAGGTGTAGGCAGGAGATAGGAGGGGACATGCAAAAGAATTTTTCAGCCTTTTGAGTGATCACCTGGAAATTAATGCTTACGAGGGCAACCAAAGCAGAGATTATTGATGATTTTAAAAAGGAAATTGGATACAGGTTTGGTTACAGGGAGAAAATGGGACCAAATGAACTGCACTAGAGAGCCAGCACTGCCTTGATAACCCAATGATTTTCTTCTGCGTTATAATGACTCGATGAGGGTCACCAACCATGCAAATAGTACATAAACTGCATGAGCATTTATGCAATAACCCAGGATTAGCAGCACTGGTGTAAGTTCAACAAATTTCTGAAGTTAGATGCGAGAGAGAGGGTGGGAGGAGATGCAAGAGAAAAGTCTTAAAAAGTGAACTCCTGCATGTAATCTTGTCAGCGAGCCACTGAAAGTTTGATTTTGTTTTTAAAAAATGAACAGTTCCTATAGGAAGTGAAATATCATTTTTTTCCATCAATAGATGTGACTTAATGTCATTAAAAACTTACTTAATACCTCCTTGACAATGTACAACTTTTTCAAGGATTTTGTTACACAAATGCTCAAAAATTAGATATATTCAAATCAAATCAAGCTATTGAAGTATTTTGGAAAAATCAGTTTTCTGTTTGGGAGCAAGAAGAAAAATTGAATTCTAGAAGTGATGTATAGTGAACTTTGGAACTAAAATGATACTCGTACGACCAAATCCTTAAAAAAAAGTGCTTTGTATTGGTCAGACATACTAAAGAGCTGAATGAGAGCTTTATCAAAAGGATCAAATGGTGCAAGTTATCTTTTTATTAGAAGTATCATGTTTAATTTGCCTTAAAGTAACAGCTAAAGCAGATCTTATTGGTAATTTTATCATTTGGGGTTCATGTGTTATTTTGGTTCATTAACAGGGTTCATAACAAGGTGTGTGTGCCGACAAATTATAACTGGCAAATTTGCAACTATAACTGGCAAAAGTACCAAGTAAATTTGTTTTTAGTGTTATGAAGGCTTCATATTTCATCATTTCTCTGGACTGGAGTCTGAAGGATTTGGATGTCTGCTTTTTTAATACAACTAAGTCAATGCAAAGACATTGCAACCACATTTTTCAAACAAGACAATTCTTGGCAGTAACACATTTTGTGCTAACTGCTCGATTGCTGGATGCTCCCTGCCTACATTTATGACCGTCTGGTGTGATGTCTGCTTTGGATATTGAGTTGCTGATAATCAGTCTGCTACTTGAAAAAGCTTCTCATATTTCTGGAAAAGCTTCTGTTGCGAATGCAGTGTGAAATCTGATTGTCTTCTTGAAAAGCATCAGGAAGAATTCTTCATACCATGCTTCAGAGAGAAGCTGCATTTGCAAAGATCCCAGAAATAACAGACTGTTTGGTGACACCCATCTGCATATGCTACAAAGACAGGTCGACAGCCTTCGCAACATTTGAAACCTTGTCCTTTTTACCTTTATGATCAAAGACTTATTGGCCAAGTCTTGCTTTGCCCAAAGTGAACCTCTGCAGAGGGAAATCTGCTTTTGTTTTCCTTTATCTGGTGTGTGCAAGTGCGTTTAATTGTTTAGTGAGGTTAACGTTTATAATACAAACGTTACCAATTTCACATCTTCACAGAATAAGTTTTTTTTCACTAGTAAAGTAATAATTGTGTTTATTAAAGAAACCTTACTAATGATTCTTATTATTCCAAGTCTAATATAGAGAAAGTTTATTATTGGCCATATTGTGAACAAGTTAAAATAATTACATTTATGTTCAGTTCCATGGAATAGTGTGACTAGAGAAAGACAGTACATGTCTCCCTCCAACCCACTGGCAACAGACAAATTATTGTGAATCGCTGCCACATTCAGCAACATGTATTGTTTTCACTAACACTTTACCTGGCTAAGTAAACATACTTGCCCAAATGCCCGATTTTTCAAAACAAAAGCAGAGCTTTAGAAACTTTATTAAACCTGGCTTGATAATACAGCACATCAAGAAGTCAGACTGAAAAGCTCCAGGACAGGAGAATCCCATACAAGTTTCTCGATTTAGTAATGAATTCATTTGTGCACATTAAATAAAAGTAAAGTCAGCTCTTCACATTAAAAGAGGAAGAACAACAGAAATGTGATAATTAGTGTTCACTTCAGTCAATTTGGATTTAGTGGATTTAGAAACTAAACTATGTACTAAAAAGTGGAACTTACTTTAGCTTTAGTTGGTTCGGAGCTTTTAGAATTTGTCTGGAAAATGTGTAATTTTTAAAAATTCATTCATGGGATTTGAGTGTCGCTGGCTGGGCCGGCATGTGAAGCAATCCAAACTGAAAACCTCCCAGAAATAATGGAGAGTCAAGAAACAGTGTTTATTATTATTTTGCAGTTTACAAAGTGGTAGACAAATTAATTGGAGATAAAACAGACAAATATCTGACCTCTGATGATCCAAATGGACGAGCTGGAATCTGAACTGCAGGCATTGCGATGCATCAGTGAAGGGGAAAGTTACCTGGACACTTTGTTTGAGAAGGAAGATCATACCCCTCAGACTAGGTCTGTGATCAGGGACAGGAGGATGCTGCAAGCAAGGGGACCTCGGCTCCTGCAAGTAGTCAACGGTCACGAGGGTTTTGCAAGCTGTGCAGATGAATGCCGGGGCTCTAGGTCCATGGCACCTGGGTTCAGGCAACCACTTAAATGCAGGGAGGAGTAGGGACTTTGCGGTAGAAGACAGTGTAATTAGAGGGATAGAAACTGTCATCTGCAGTTGTGAACAGAGTGCTGAAGGGTGTTTTGCCTGCCTGGTGCTGGACTTAAGGACATTTCCTCAGGGTTGAAGAACTTCGAATGGAAAGAGAAGGATTCAGTTGTTGTTATCTACACTGGTACCAATAGCATTGATTGGACTAGAAAATAATTTTCTGCTGAAAGAATCTGAACAATTAGGAACTAAATTAGAAAGCAGAATCTTGAAAGAAGCATCTGAAGATGACTGGATCAAGGACACTACCCTGAGGAACACTTGCAGGTGTGCTGGTATAACTCCAAAAACAGCCATCTTCCTTTGTGGTGGTATGACTCCAACAAGCAAAGCTTTTCCCCAAACACCTGATAATAGTCATCCATTTGGGTATGTGCAACGTAGCAATAGATCATCTTTAATCCACTCCGTCAATCTCATATTGAACCACAAGATTCTGGGTTCAATTCTCACGCCAGGGCTTGACCACAAAAATCATATCTGACACTCCAATGTAGCACTGAGGGAATGGGTGC